CAGGGAAAAACAATGCTGGTTTACGGAATACTTAAGTATAAGGCAACACAGTGTGAATGAGAATACCCAAGTTATTTAATGTATTTAAGCTATACTGTTTTTCAATTCACTTGGGCTGCCAGCATTACAACTAGAACACTAGCTTTTCGTACATTCTACCTTACAATGTAAAGATAATGGGCATGATTCTTAGCTAGAACTTGTTAGATTTTTTTTTTTTTAAACTAATGACATTTACTGGTATACAAAGGTGGTCTCATGAACAGGACGTCAGTAGAAGTATATCTCTTTATACTTGCCCAGTGTCTTGCCTAGTATACTCTTGCCACTTTTCTATTCTAAAATTACAGTATTTTACCATTTTTTCCTCCAAAAAGGAGGAAAATCATGTACTGCTGTTTAGTATAATACATTTCTAACGTACTTATTTTCCATAGTGTCTTGGTCCTGCACAAACGTTCTTGAGGTTAAAAAAAAAAAAAAAGACATTGGAAGTACTGTTTTCCTGCTATCACTGTCATTTGCTGTTGGCTGTTGAAATAATAAATATCCTTATTGCATATGTATTAAGAGTCATGGGATATGAGCAGAAAAAGGTGAAGGCCCAATCTTCTGATTTGGATTTTGAAATGAAACTGGGCCTTTGGCTAGTCATGGAGATACAGTCTTGGGAGCAGGACCAGCTTCAGTCATAGGCAGAGTAGACAGTTGCTTAGGGCAGAAGTCTGTACTTTGCTGGAGCTACTTGATCACAGCCCCTTCTCCACAGAGAGGCAAAATAAAATCTTTCTTACTTAGCTGAGAAGCTGTGAATATAAATGATGGTGTATATTTGTTGATTTGTCCCCTTTGCAAAGTTGGTATGAACAGCTGCTTTAAGCTACAATATATGTATTGTGTTTCTGTTACCATTCTATATATTTTTTGTCACTAGAGTCAGTGCCAGAGGTAGAGCCTTATCAGTGGCAAGAAGTTTGAAGTCAAAAAGTGCAATTATCTGCCTAGTCATAAATGCAATAAGTCATTTCTGGCAAACGTTTGTAAGTCATACCTAGTGATGAATCCAGTAGCTGCCTGAGTACAACCCTCTGTCATTTCAATAAATAGAAGCTGCTTAAAGTTGCGGATGGCAAATCATTTTAATTAAGTCCAGAGATCAGGCTGGAGCCAAAGGTAAGCCAAGAAAGGCTTTAGCCTGCCAAGATTATTGCCATTCAGTGCAGCATGTGATTTGATATTGGAAGGTGTGGTCACACTTACGTGACCACTTAGATCAGGATGCCAACCTTTTGTTTAAATGGCATGCCGTGGATACAAATGGGTACCTGAATTAAGCCAGTGATGGGTCTGTTCAGAGTTGTAGACATCATGTGGAAGATATTTGGCCTGTCTGTGTCCTAGGCAGGTCATCAACCAGTGCTCTGGCATTTTTATAACCAGTCTAGACCTGACTAAAGAAAATATGTAAGCAGTTACCATTTAAGCTACTCTACTACTAATTTTCCTTCTAATTGTTGCAGCCTGAACATGGTGACTCAGTTATCACATGCTATAGAATGATATAATTCCTGTTAGTACTGAATACTGTCAGAACCCGTTTTGGCTGTTCTTGGGCTGAGTTGAGTAATCTTGAGACTGAATACAGGAGGGGTGGGAAAAAGCAGGATGGAGAAACCCCTGCAGTAATTAGAGTCACAGGAGAGCTGTCTAGCACACCTGAAGGCTTTTCAGACTACAAACCCAACACTGTTCCTACCCTCTTGTCTCACCATAGAGTTTACTGCACAATAACATTTAAGAAAACTTCAGAGCTTGTGTAAGAAGAAAGTACCAGAATTTCTGGAGAGCTATTTGGATGAGGAATGGAGTTATTACTGAATTGGACAGTGGATTTTTTTTTTTTTCAAATCTGTTGGTTTATTTTGTTGAAACAAATATTTATATCAATTTTGAAGAAATTTGACTTAGGATAAAAATTCTAGCTGACGTGTTTTGATGATGCAGGAAAACACTGCCTCAAAAATTCACAGCAAAGTTTTATGTTTTTTGTTTAAACGGACTTCAGTATTAAAAAATGTTTTCTAAAAGTTTTAAGGTCAATAAAAATGAAATGTTTTGATTCATTGGAAATGGTTTATTTGAAATTATTTTATTTTGAAGGAGATTTCTTAATTTTGAGATATTTTCCATTTGATTTCTTTTTTGGAAATAGGCTTTCCTTTCTATTTGTTCCGGCACAGGTTGTTATCAAAAGGTCCAATCAGCAGCTGTCACATTTTTGTCTTCCACTCACTTCTTTGCTACACTGAATTAACAGGTCTGGATCAATTGACCAAGTATTAGGGTGGCATCTACAGATACTAAGAGGTTTCTCTACTTTTCTATGGACATCGAAGGAGAGCTATAATGAAGACTCCCTTGTTGGTTTGCACACGCTGCTCAGTAACTTTCACTGAAAAACTTGCATTGACTGGTACTATGCCAGCCATACAGCTACTAAAATAGGTTTAATAGATGTAATTTAATAAGAACTAGAGGAGAATGTGGAATAGCCCGTCTTCAGGGTTTTTTTGTTTTTTGTTTTTTTTTTGACTAGATGATAGGTTATATATGAGTAGGTTATGGAAGAGTAGGTAAAATAAGTCTTTAACTCTTGGGCAGCAGCTGTTTTTCCGATCTTGGCATTAGAGTCAGTGGGAGTGATTAGAATAAGAAAGAACTGTTTCCCTAACTGAGGAAGCTCTTTGTACGGACTATATCTTAGTCGAGCTACTAGCTGAGAGACCTTGACAGGAAAATCTAGAAGAAAAAACAAACATAAAATTGCTGAGTCTTATTGACTGAACTCTTGACCACAGACCTAGTCTTAACAGAGTGGATTTGTCATAAATCAAAATAAAGTTCAGATGTGTCTGCCTTAAAATTCTGCCATTCCTACCACTGGACTCTAACACAGTTCTAGGCTTGGAGTCACAGACTTCTCTTGTAGAAATAATGCTGTCACGGGACTGTAGCAAGGTGGATTGAGGTAGACATGGCAGGACGCAGAATAAAAGGGCTGCTTGGTTATGTGCATAAGTAGTTTGAAAGGAATTGTTTAATTTTTCTTATCCATGGCAATTAGACACTGTGGTCAGGGTGAAAGGCAAGACTTCCTTTATTTCCTGTTTACACAGACTCTATCCTCCTTACTCTGTGCTCCTTAACGATGGTTTTGGACTCTTTCTCCATGTTCCTCAGTGCTCCGACAGCCACTCCAGCTTAGTTCTCCCACAGTCGTGGTGTCAGACTAATTTCTGCAGACCTGTTATGAAATCATTCATGACTCATTCTTCTCTTGCTTGCACGAGTGAAATATGCCCACTAAAAAGGTCTAACTGTGGCACGGCATCGAATACTTACCAGCTGGTTAAGTATGCCGTGCTGTGTTTTAGCAGATCTCTGCTGCGGATTCCAGCTTATACATTGCAGTCTTAGTATGCTTCTTCCCAGTTCCTGTCCGTGCAGTGGGCTCGTGACCATTTCAGAATATGCTTGCTCTCAGGCTACTGAAATTCATATTCAGAATTAGATGGTATTAGGAGAAGGGGAGGGTCAGATGTAGCCTTTGCTGTTTTTTCACCACGCTATCTGCCTTTTCCTGCGTCGCCCTTGTGTGGAGTACAATGATAGCGTCATTTAGCAAGCAAACTGGTGTTATGGTGTGCCTCACCTTGTTTTCAGTGTGTGCAACTTTCCTATCATGACCCTGTGTTACAGCTAGGACTCACCGAACAACAGTTTCCTGTGTTAATTTTAGGCCACTTTTTGTCTTCTCTGCCATTATCTCTGTGGAAGTAATACATTGCCCTGAGTAAGCTGGGCCTTGCATTTATGTTCTGGAGATGCTCTGTGATCTGTTTTGTTTAATTACATTTATATTACTTTCTTTGTTCAGATAGATATTAGAGGGACCCATGATTTGTCAAGATTACTTTTATTTTCTGCTTATGCAGATTTTTTCCTCAATCTAATTGCCTGGTAGGGACCAACTTGAATAATGATTCAAAGCTAACACCATAGCTTTATGAAGTAATATGACTATAAAGAACTTTCTTCACACCATTGCTTGCTATTTTCTCATCTAATTTTATAATCATGGTTGTGTGTTTTCTGTATCTAAAATTGCTATGCATTATTAAGGTGTGCACCTGAGAGCAACTTGTTTTATATTGAAATTTATGTATTAAGATAGTAAAGTAGCTATTTTGTTTTTGTAGATGACCCGTAGTCAGATCAACCACTGAGGGTTTGTTTATTGTAAACTACGGTTTTTGGTGTTTGAGTCCATAGGGTTTGGTCTAAATCCCACTGTGAACTGTTAGAAGATTGCTTTGAGTTAAAAGGGTTTTGGATGATCTAGAACTAGATGATCTGGCAAACCAAAAAAAAAAAAAAAGAAAAAAAGAAAGAAAGAAAGTTGTGTGTTTTCTGTATCTAAAATTGCTATGCATTATTAAGGTGTGCACCTGAGAGCAACTTGTTTTATATTGAAATTTATGTATTAAGATAGTAAAGTAGCTATTTTGTTTTTGTAGATGACCCGTAGTCAGATCAACCACTGAGGGTTTGTTTATTGTAAACTACGGTTTTTGGTGTTTGAGTCCATAGGGTTTGGTCTAAATCCCACTGTGAACTGTTAGAAGATTGCTTTGAGTTAAAAGGGTTTTGGAGGAGGCCTAGAACTAGATGATCTGGAAAACCAAAAAAAAAAAAAAAAGAAAAAAAGAAAGAAAGAAACTCACCTCCCAACCGTGCAAAAACAAAAACCAAAAAACTTTGTCAGAGGAAAACAAGGACTCAGTGTAGAACTGTACGAAACACAAAATATAGAATTATTTCTTTTTGAGAAGCATCAAGACTATTTACACTACACTTGGGTGATAGGAAAATGCATCTTGATCAGAAATATGTTTCTCTAAATTTGTTTGTTTCTTTTAAAACAAGATCATCTCACATGATCAAGTTCATTGCAACTGCTGGTCACAGAGAACAGTGAAGGAGCGAACAGAATCATCAGGGGCAAATATCTCAGTGGACAGAGGAGCCTTTCCAGGGGTCAGTAGGTTTTGGATTCTTCATTATTTCTGGACTACTAAAACTTGACCCAATTATATAAATACCTTAGGAAGTAAGAGAAAAAAACAGAGGTTAGGCAGTCTTTCAGTCATCTGAAACAATGAGAATGTTCCCATCGCTTCTGAATTAGTGAACACTAGGAAAGAGATGATAGTATTAGTTGTGTATATAAAATGTGATTCAAATACTGCACTAGATGTCTGTTGTAAGCAAGCTGAACAACTATTTAAGAATGAAAGGAGAAAAGCTTAGCATCTCACATAGCATCTCAAACTAAAAGATAAATTATACGTAAAGCATAGATATATAAATAATATACATTATATGAATTGTAATAGAATATAAAAATATTGTATGCATATATGTTTAACTATATTTTCTTTTTCAAAACTTGAAATTTATTACTCTGAATTCCTGTTTTTAAAACCTTATCTGGACTCCTGATAAAATATCTGGAACATCTGGGTGGGCAACAGTGACCAGAGTTTACCCTAACTTTGTGCTTGACAGGATGATAGGATGCGGGTGTGGGAGACAGAGGCACTATTCAGAGGAGTCTCCTCAGTCTGCTTTCGTGTGCTTTACTGATATGCTTCATTAGCCCCTGAAGTGAATTTTCAATGCAGGGAAGTGATTGTTGAGATAAGTCCTAAAAGACCTGAGATAAAAGTCATTAATGGGTTCATTAATGAACCCAGGTTTACAGTTTTCAGTTTAATAGTTTAGGCTACACAGCATATGTGAAGAACTTAAGAGAAGAAAAGAGAGCCCCAAGAGTGCTGATTTATTCCATTTGTAAAATGAGGCAAGTTAAAATACCTTGCCGTATTATTCAGCACGTTGCGAAGCGTCACACAGGCAGCGTAATGTAATGGCGGTAGGATGTGCCATAGCAACTGGTATATATTTTATTTCCTCCTCCTTTTTTTGTTATTTATTTTTATTATTTATTGTTACACATGGCAAATTATTTTTCTATTAATCATTCTGTGCCATAACACTGAGATACCTCTTTCGCCTTCTCCCTCCAGATTTTACAGTTAACCGCATAACTGCAATCCTGTAGCGCTCAGTTAAAAAAAATACTGCCTTTTAACTTTTAACTGTTTGCTGCTAACTCTTGACTGCTACTGCGAAGTAAGTCTACATTCAGGAGGCAAAATGCCCCTCCCTCTTTTGGCGAAGCCTGCTTATGCTGTGCAAGGTGGTGTGGTTAAGTCTTTGTGCCTACCCCACTGCTTTTCTAAATGCTGGTTCAAAGGTTGTGGTATCACTGACTTTAAAATCTGAGTATTTGCAGGAAAAGAGTAATTGTGATTAAAAATTGCAATCAAAGATCAGTGAAAGCAGTAGGAATTGTGAGCTCGCCGCACTTCAGAGTCAAGTGTTCTGTATTCGGTTTTGATTAGTGTCTCTTCTGTGTTTGCGCTTTTTATTGTGTTTGTTGTATTTTACACGTCAACGAGGCTCCATCACTGGAATGCCCAGGACTTGCTATCCTGACGGAGCCAGTCCTTGAGCTTTTGAAAAATCTCCACGTTACTGAACTTGCAGTCAAATTAGGGTTTGATTCTCAGAGTAGATCTAGAGGTTCTGTCTATCAATACTGATGGCGGATCGTAGATACTTACGTACCATTATTAATGCCTATTTCAGGTGCGAAAGACAGACAACATTGATAAATGGGCGGTGTTAAAAGGGAGAGCGCTGCTGTTGCTGGGTGTTCTCTGAGGGTGGATTTTGCTAGAACGTTATCTTCAAAGTTACAAAGCGAGGAAGTTGAGTTTTTGAGCTGATGACACTTACTGGCATGTGTGAACTTCAAAGCTTTGCTGAATACAAAACAATCAATTCCAAAGTTTAATATTTTGAAATAAGCTCAGGCAAAAGGAATATGGAAGTAAAACTGGGGCTTGGCTCTCTTTAATTGGAGAGTTAAGGCAATTAATGCAGTACAATGTGTTAAAGGTCAAGTAAAGGTACAATACTTGGTTGTAAATGTTAGTGTATAGTCATTATTAAGAGAGAACAGTTTGTCCATGTAGTTTTATAGAAGGATGATGCCATCAAATTCTGTCTCGTACTCACTTCCTGTCTCATTTCAAGGAACACTGTGCACCTGTCATTATACTTCCTAATCTTTTAAAACCTCCTTAAACTGCGTCTCCAGAGCTAACAAAATACCTTTTTCCTGTCTGTATTATATGTAAATAACAGATTCATGAAAGAGGTTTCCTTTGGTTGATTGGCTTGGTTTGGTTTCAGGAATTGCAGAGCAAGGCAATTGTAAAACTCTGCTGTTTCCATTAAGTGGCTAGCATTTTAGATGTTGTTTCCAAATATTGCTGATGATTGCAGAATCATGACAGAAAACTAAGTTTAAGTTCCTTCACAAGAAGCAAGCTTTTGTTTAAGAAAGTGTTCTTATAATAACCTGAATAATTTGCTGATGTTGATTTTTAGAAATGAGAAGTAACAAATCTATTTTCAGAATTCCTCTTTCAGTAAAGAATTGAATGATTCTCCTGGTATGTGAGAGCTGAAGCTGTTCAGTATTGCATAGTTAAATGTGATGCATGTTTAAGAAAGTTTTGAAATGCTTTATGTCTTGTTTCTGTTACTTGCCTACTCTACATCTTAATGAACAGATTTCAAGATATTGATGTGATCTTTTTAATGTTTGGTACGGAGCTAAGCAGGTGTAAAGACTTGAAAAAAATCACCTGAATGTGTAGGGAGAATTTTTGTATGGAGATAGCGATAGAAGTAGATGTTAGCTTTACTAGTTTCTTGCTTTTTTTTCCATTATTTTATAAGTACGAATGAGACCAAGGCCCTAATCCAAACCGTACTCACTGAAGGCAGGTAAAGACTTTCATTCACTTCAGTATGGCTTTGTGCAAATCTTAAAGGAAGATTGTCAATATTCAGACACAATATTTTTATATTACATGACAAAGGACATCAAAAGTAGCTAGAGGTAGAAAAAGAGTAAATGAGAGAAAACACTGAGAAAAAGAAAGATTATTTCTTTCTTTTGTGTGTATATTTACATGGAAGTATTGCCAAGGACAGTTTGGGAACAGGGATATTTAAGACCTCAGTCCTGAAACCTGCCTGTGTTTATAGTTTCAGTTGATTGCAGTGGAAGTTTTTGACTAGAGCTATTAGAGAAGTTGGATGGAAGTTAGAAGAATTAATCACATAGCCCAAACTGAGAAAAATAAAAGGTTCAGCTATAGTCACACAAAGATCAGTTATTGTAAGTTTCGTGCAAGAAGGAGACGTGTGACTATTCAAGACACGACTTTCCTGTGTGCGTTCATGATCTTTTCATTTTTGCTGGCATGAAAAGGAGAGCTACACCAGCAAACCAGAGATGGAAATTAGTGATACAAGAGTGAAGGAATTAGTGATTTGAGTTAGACATGCCATTCCCTTCCATCTTTACAAGTGGTAGAAAGCAGTTGCTGGTTCTGTATCACTTCAAAATTAGAATGAATGGCTTGTTTGAGAATGTAGAGCAAAAAGGAGCCCAGCACATGTCAGAGTAACACTAGATGGCCAGAATATGCACACTTTCCCCCTCCAATAGATATTACTTTGTCATATGATACGTAAGTGTATTCTGTTCTTAGCAATGCAAATTAAAGAAGTAATTTCCGATCTTACTTACACCTGTGTAGCTTCACTAGTTCCAAGGGGTCTCTAAATAGAAAAGAAGAGATGAAAGCTTCAATTAGTAGAGGCTCCTAACTCCTTTCCAGTCTCTTGACCCTCCCATTAATAGTGTACAAGAAAATACCTGACATCGTTATTCAGAACATCCTTTCAATTTTCTCTGGACATAATTGATTGAATAATGAGTGTTGACACTGAATATATTATTATCCTTGGAGGACAAAAGCGTGATTGAATTTCCATGAAGGGGCAGAAGAGAATCTGTGTGTGTAGATACTGTGTGTGCAGACACTGAAATACATACTGACAGCATCTATTTTTGGTAGCTTACTGAAAGGACCTAGAAAATACTTTAGTCACTTACTGAAATGTAAGTGGCCCAAATCCTATTGAAATAGATACTTTGAAGACTATTATGAGAGACAGATCATAAAACCATAAAAGAGATTCAGAGGCACTCTTGGAAATGATGCTTGAGCCAATATTTCCTAGTATGTCTACAATACCTTGGTATTGCTATATAATAATGAAGTCCAGTGCAAAGTAGTTATCCATAATTTCTGTATCCTGTTCGTCACCCTCAAACAATTTAAATGGTCTCAGCCTCTCGCAGAGAGGATCCAAGTCATTAACAGCAAATTTTCTGGGATAGCTAGTAGGCCCAAAATTCAGCCTGTAAACATACAAAGCTTAAAGAATATCTTTGACTAGCAGTATAATAAATTCCCTACCTTTTGTGTCCTGAAGACTTTCATAAAAGTAGTGATGCTTATTCAGAACACTAGAAGTAGTAGCCAGGAAATGCATTCCAATATTGCAGCCCAGGAATGAAAACCTACAGTTGAACTGTGGTGCTGTAAGCAATAAAAGGTACTGAATATATCATGGATCAAATGGAAACTGCTTTGGATATTATTTTGCTATTGGGCCTAAGCTGGGTTTGTTGAATAAAGCACCCAGTCAAGAGGCAATATTTTATACTTTCACTACACAAAATACTGTTATCCTAAAATTTCATCCCAACAATTTATTTCATCTGTGTCCATGTGCATATATAGAGGAAATTTATATCTTGTATGCATGTGTATGTCTGGGTTTTACTGAGAACATGGCCCCTGGATACAGCATTATTGTACCCAGTAACTGTGCAGTCTGGTGGGATCTCAAAATCTTACAAGCCACTCTTTACTAAAAGATTGTCAGCGGCTTTCCCACTAGTGTTTGAATAGTTTACCAGGCAAGCACAGCAATTGCTTGCACAAATGATACCCAATAAATTACTTAGCCAGCCAGCTGCT